TCTTAAAAAGTTTAAATCCACAATTTTGTTTATAAGAAAAAAGGAAAACATTTTGTTGTATATCTCACTTCTTGTTTCATGCACTGTGTACTCTCTGGATCAAAGTGTGAACCGGATCACCTGAGGTCAGGAGTTTGAGACCAGTCTGGCCAACATGGTGAAACCCTGTCACTACTAAAAATAGAAAAATTTGCCAGGCATGGTGATGCACACCTGTAATCCCAGTTATTTTTCAGGAGGCTGAGGCAGGAGAATCACTTGAACCTGGGAGGCGGAGGTTGCACTGAGCTGAGATCATGCCACTGCATTACAGTCTGGGTGACAAAGTGAGACTCAGTCTTAATTTTAAAAAATTTTTTTAAAAATCCTTCCATCAAATTTGGGGAAAAAAAGAATTAGGAATAAGAAAACTGTGAGCATTTCAAATATTTCAAAAATTTTAATGTACTTCCTTCCAGAGTTAAATACGTATTGTAGCATTTACCTGCTTTGGATGTTTGTACATCCTTCATTCCTCCTGCTTTATTTGGAACAGAATCTTTCATTTCAATGGCAGGCTGAATGGGTTTTGAAACAAAATGATTAATAAATAATGTATACTTTATACAATATGCACTTAATAATTCAAGATAAAAATACAAAACTTATTACCTTCAAGTGAAGATATCTTTCAGGAGACTCTAAAAAGCAAAAGGGACATATAATCAATTACATGTAAATATGACAAAGCAAATTATAAATTCATGCAGTGTTAGTATGACCTGAATCATCATGCTTGGTTTGAAAATGATTATGTTAATTGTTGGGATGTTTTTTATTTTGGTTAGGACAGCAACATGACAGAAGTATACTGGAGGAAAAAACAGGAACACAGGTTTAATAAAACATGCAGTTATGATTTGAATGTAAGATTATGTTCCAAGTGACTATAACTAAAATAGAAAGGTGCACATATACCAACGTGAGCATGCTGGTTGATGCAGAGAAAGGTAATCTTTAATTAGAGGAGCAAATCATGACCCTGAGAGGAGAAATGTCAAGGCTGATGGTAAAATGAGACAGCATATCTTTAATGCAACACATCAGAATCATTTATACCATTACACTACAAGTATTTATCATGTTCTTCAACTTGTCCTGTAATTTAGGAAGCACACAGCTGTGATGCCACTTGACTTGGATATATAACTCATTTCTCATCAGAGAAAATGTTCTGAATTGATCAGCTTGGATATACACTTGTAGAGTAACAGTTAACAAAAATACTCATTTTTTTCCATACCCATGTGGGCTACTGGCATGCCTACATTTCTTGTATCCTCTAGTTTAGCCATCTTAAAGTTTCTTGGTCCACTCATGCAAGAAGGTATATAAAACATATCTAAGGAATAACACATAATAAGCTTTTAATATTGAAATATTTATCAAAAGGAAAAAATTTAATTGCCACAGAATTAGATATTAATAACATTTTATATTTCAAAATTAGTGCAGTTTTTAAAATCAATGCAGTGTTTATTGAAAACAATTTTAGTATTCAAGGAATTAACTATAATTTTTTCATTTCTAAAATATCATGTTAGCCTCTAAAGGATTTAATGAAACAGCTATCATTACCAAAAAGCAACTTTCTTTAAGAAAAAAGCCAGTGCTTCTGTATTCAAATAAAACTCATCTGATTAACTAATACCAATGTAACATGTATCCTTTTTTTTTTTTTTTGATAGAGTCTCGCTCTGTCACCCAGACTGTAGTACAGTGGCACAATCACGGGTCATTGCTCCCTACAACCTCAACCTCGCAGGCTCAAGCAATCCTCCTGCCTTAGCCTCCTGAATAGCCGAACTAAAGGTCCATGCACCACCATGCCTAATTTTTGTATGTTTTTGTAGAGATGTAGTCTCGCCATATTGCCCAGGCTGGTCTCAAACTCCTGGGGTCCAGCAACCCACCCACCTTGGCCTCCCAAAGTGCTGAGTGACAGGCGAACCACCATGATCTATCCAAAGCAACATATCTGTTTGATGTCTGATAGTTACAGAGAGGAGATATGAATCACTGTAGTTTACCCCAATTCTAGCATGCCCTCCTGCTTGTAATAATCTCTGGAGCAGAAATGATCTAATCGTCTGTTTGAGTGTAAATATACTGAATCCATCTGGAAATGAGTTCTCTCAAGTTTCCTCATCAGTAACTCCAAAATGACTCAACTAACTTCTTTCTTTCCTCTCTTTCTCCATTCACAATCTCTTCCTTTGCAAAAGTAATCTCTAGATCTGTGGTCTTGATTCTTCCCATTCTACATCCTATTTATGGAATATTCTCAGCACTTCTTTCCTCTTCATTTAACAATAGTTATCTTATATCTACAATTTCTATTCCTCCATCTCTTTGTTCCTTCTCCTCTGACTAGAAACATGCTCAGAAATAAAAGAAAAATAATGCTTTATCTTGATCCTGTTATGCCTCGAATTTTTGTGGAACAACTCTTCTTTCAGATGTCTCAAAAAGGAAGCCTACACTCTTGTTACTCAAGAGTGTGGTCCAAGGACCAGAAGCATCAGCATTATGTGGGAACTTATTAGAAATACAGAACCCCAGGCCTGCTGAATCAAAATGTACATTTTTAACAAGATTCCCAGCTGATTTACTAAATTTTAAGCAGCTCTGGTCCATACTTAGTGTGCTTCCACATTCTTTTATGTTAGATTGCCCTTTTGGAATCTGGCATCAAGTTCCTCCCTACTATGTCCCCGAAACTGAAACTATATTACAAGTCACGAAGTTGCTAGTGGGCTTTTTATCAGAGTATGTCTTCCTTGAGCTCCCCATAACCAACCCTACTCTCTTCTTTCCAGTTCTCTTCTTTTGGCCTTTGAGATACTATCCTATGAAGTAACATTTTCTTTCTTTCTTTCTTTCTTTTTTTTTTTTGAGAGACAGAATCTTGCTCTGTTGTCCAGGCTGGAGTGCAGTGGTGCAATCTTGGCTCACTGCAACTTCCATCTCCAGGTTCAAGTGATTCTCCTACCTGAGCCTCCCAAGTAGCTAGGATTACAGGCACGCACCACCGTGCCTGGCTAATGTTTGTATTTTTAGTAGAGACAGGGTTTCACCATTTTGGCCAGGCTGGTCTCAAACTCCTGACCTCAGGTGATCTACCTTCCAAAGTGCTGGGATTACAGGTGTAAGCCACCATGCTCAGCCTGATGTAACATTTTCTATGACATTAAATTATAGATATGTATGGCTGACCACATATGCCTGTATTCATCTATGGCAAGTGAAACGTGCCATAAATGGTCCAGTACTTCCATCCTTGCCTTCCCAACAGTGAGGAGGATAGGAAGAGTGGATAAATTTTGGTCTACTTCTCTCCAACAAGTTTTGGTACTTGAAGCTCATTTTAAACTCTTCCTACCTTTCTAATACCCTGCTTTTCCATTTTCTAAAGAATTATTTTATTTTTTAATTTTTATATTTTTGAGATGAAGTCTTGCTGTGCCGCCCAGGCTGCAGTGCAGTGACGCGATCTCAGCTCACTGTCACCTCCACCTCCCAGGTTCAAACAAATCTCTTGCCTCAGCCTCCCAAGTAGCTGGAATTACAGGTGCTTGCCACCATACTCAGCTAATTTTTGTATTTTTAGTAGAGATAGGGTTTCACCATGTTGACCAGGCTGGTCTCGAACTCCTGACCTCAAGTGATCTGCCTGCTTTGGCCTCCCAAAGTGCTGGGATTAAAGGCATGAGCCACCGCGCCTGGCCCTAGAATTATTTTATTTTGCCACTCTCCATTACATACACTTGCTTCTTTGTCCTTCATTCGCTCCCTGTACTCTCTGCCTTCCTCATTCTCATGTCCTCTTTTACTCCTCTCCTCTTCCTTATTTCCTGGCTCCCTCAGGTCTTAATGTATTTTGAAATGGATCTAATAATTCAGTTCCCTTACTGGCACTAGCAATTTAATCTGTTGCTGACACATAAGATATATAACTTATCACAATTTCACCTCTTTTTATTCTTACTATGTATTTAATAGGTGATTTTCTTTGGCTATTAGAATATAGCAACGGTCATGTTTTTAAATAAACACTCTGTCCAATGGCTTTTTTAAAATAAAATATAGCTCTTACCTTCTGCTTGTTCATTTCCTATATTTTTTTCTTTTCGATATGCAGCCCCAGCTAAAGGATCAACATACTTCTGCGGAAAATTCTCAGAGATACTCTGTTAAAATTAATATCAATAATGAGTTTCAATTTTACAAAAAGAATGAATTGCTAAAGATTTTCTAATCACTTTCAAATATAATATGAACTTCCTATTTTAAAAGCAATTAGGCTTAAAAATAAGATAAGTATGTATTGAAAACCAAAACATTTCAATAAAGAACCTCACATATGCTCACTAGATTAAGCTTATCTTTCATCTTCAGATGACTATTGACTCTGCAAACCAAACACAGAAGGCCTAAGGACACATATTAACAGACAAAATATTAACTTATGTGCACAGTTCAATGAGGAATTAATATCAAAAGACCTAACTCTACTTTGTATTCTTCACCAAAAATAAGAGGGGAGCTTCTCTGAACCTATTCTGGTTTGGGGGCTGCCTGATTAAGAGAGAAAAAAAAGTGTATTTTAAAAAATAGAATACACTCCCTATAGTACAGCATTAAATATTTAAAATATTTCTAATTATAGAAATTTTTAGTGTTAAGATATGTGGCATGATAAGAAACTGGAGTATGTCCTGTTAAGTATAAACAGAACACTGCAGAAGCTGCTTCATTTAAGTAAACAATGGCTTAGAAAAATCTAAATACTTTTTGATAAAACTTTTATGATAGGAAAATGGTTGACTAAAATGACAAAGCAGTAAGAAAAACTTTGCTTTATGTTATGTCTAAAGAAAAGCAAGGAAATATAAGATACAGAATATAAACTCTTTCCCAATTAAGAAATAATTTCAAAGAAGTATAGCAAGCCTTCATAAAAACAGAAGAATAAGAACATTTATGTATTAAGCATGTGAAATGTGCCAGGCATTTATTTGCACATTTTCTTTTCTATGCACTATAATAATAAAAATGATGATGATGATGATTACCCGGCTTCCTGCTTCTTGGTCATTCTAAGATGTTAAGAGTAAAATGATGAACAGATCTGATGATTGTGTCCTCTGCCCAGAATGCCCTCCTCCTAGCCTTTCTGATGGCTGCTCCTTCTCTTCCTTTAGTTGGCACTCTAAGGTCACACTCAGAAAGATCTTCTCTGACTACAGAATTTCACTCCCACTCCGATTCCCATCCTAACTACAAACTCCCTCAATTTTCTTTAACCTAATACTCTGTTTTCTTCACATGAAGCACTTATAGTGACTTATAAGTGTTTGTGATTTACTTGTTTTTCAGTTCCCACTACTAGAGCATAAGCCCTCACCTTGTACATGCAGTGTCTAATAGTCTAGCACGTGGTTGGTACTCAATTTATTCAAGCTCAAACATTTAAAATCTCATTGGGAAGGTCTCAAGTGTCAACTCACTATATTCCTATAAGATATCTCCAGTAACTGTCTAGTGAAACTTACACCCCAAATTAGAAATCCACATTTCTATTCCAACTTTCCCATTCTTTTCTTGACACTACTGCCTTCACATTTACAAAAAGTACCCTGAATATTTATTAAGTCACTGGAAATGATTTTGAAAATCATTTCTACTTATTACAATACCACTCAACCAAATCGTTACTATTCTCCATATTCTTCCTTCTCCTGAAAGTTCCCTGCAGATCTATACAAATATATATTAATACTTTAAAGTCCCAGACATTATCTTTTCAAGTTCTAAGTTGTCAAGAAAAAAAACCACATTCCAAACTGTTTCTCTCTGAATCTCATTAGGACTTTTACTCATCCATACGTAACACAGAATCATATACATGGCCATAGGTTAACCTGAAATAATTTTTTTTGAGGCGGAGTCTTGCTCTGTTGCCAGGATGGAGTGCAGTGGCGCGATCTCAGCTCACTACAACCTCTGCCTCCCAGGTTCAAGCGATTCCCCTGCCCCAGCCTCCCGAATAGTGACTACAGGCACACGCCACCACACCCAGCTAATTTTTTGTATTTTTGTAGAGACGGGGTTTTACCATGTTGGCCAGGATGATCTCCATCTCCTGACCTCATGATCCGCCCGCGTCGGCCTCCCAAAGTGCTTGGATTACAGGCGTGGGTCACCTTGCCCAGCTGACTTGAAATAATTCTTTAGTTTTTAGATAAACTTAACTTCAGAACCCATACTAATTCCTTGTGACTTCTAAGCCTTTTTTGTTCTTATTTTATTTTTTGCACTATCCTACACTGGATTCTTAAATGAATCCTGCAAATTAGCAGAATTATTCTATGTAGCAATAACATACTTAGCACATTAATTATACACTGAAAAATATAAGAAAGTAGTTCCTTATGGATGTATGCAGAGGTAAAAAAGTCAAGTCAGAGCATCGCTTTAGTTTTAAACATCACTCAATGCTTATATTTTAAAATAACAGTAACAACCATAGACAGTACCTCAGAATCCCAAGGTGATTCTATATCTTCCTCTTGTCCTAATCCTAATGCGGACATCATATCTATCAAATGTGATACACATATATATGCATGAGAACATTTACTATTGTAAATTTTAAATACATATATCTACAAAAATAAAAAATATAAAAAAATTAAATACATATACAAGTCTATCTCCATTCATGAATATTTCAATAAAATAAAAATAATAGCAAAAAAAGAATTTCACAAGGTTGATGCAGTCTCAGGAAAAAATTGGTAATATGAAGAAAGACAGCAAAAGAAAAATATTTTAAAAATGAATATAATACTTGGGTCTGCATATGTTAATTGGTTGTCTTAGAATAGAGGGTTTTTTTTGTTTGTTTGTTTGTTTGTTTTTGAGACAGAGTCTCACTCTGTTACCCAGGCTGGAGTGCAGTGGCACAATCTCAGCCCACTGCAACTTCCATCTCCTGGGTTCAAGCAATTCTCTGCCTCAGCCTCCCAGGTACCTGGGATTATAGGAATGCACCACCACACCCAGCTAATGTTTGTATTTTTTTTTTCAAGAGAATTAAATTGTTTATTAATTACACATGATAATGGATGATACACAAGCTTAATTCCCATCTATAATTTTATCTGGTACCATTATTCAATTTAGATATATTGCATAGAATGTGCCAACAATCACTTTTATAACCAATAATTCCATGATTTTGCTTGGGTAATCCCTTTTAATGGTGAACTTCAGGTCACAACAGTAACTATCAGTTCAACTATACCAAGGTTTCCGAAGACAATGGCTTCTCCATCCAAGCTGGTTGTATATAAATTCCAAATAGAACCTGGCATCACCCTGAAGGAATTCTAACTTCACATTGTTGGGGAAATTTACCAAGATGGCTTCAGAGTAGACTAACTTCACACAGCATATTTAAAAAAAGACATTTATTCAGCATCACGATCAGACTATAATAGCATGGGTGCAAAAAAACCAAAATCTACATTAAAACCCTTTGTTGGAATGCTTTACACTTTCCACAGAACAGAAACTAAAATAACCTGTTATACAATTAGTCACAAATACAGTCCTCGATTTTTTGCCCATATACATGAGTATTTGTCTAAAACATGTCTTCTTTGTAGCAGCTAGGCCCTGCCACCACTGTGCTTGGCTGAGTTCACAAATCTGTTGTAACCTGTAGCTTCCCTGTCACTTCTCTGGCTCTCCTCTCCTGCTAAGCTTTGTTTCCTAATTAAAATCTTCTGCCACTGCCAAAGCTACTGCTGCTGCTGGAACCGCCATAGCCACCTTGGTTTCGTGGTTTTGCAAAGTATTGGCCTCCACTGCCATAGGGGCCAGAGCTTCTGCCTCCAAAATTTCCTCCCTTCGTGGGTCCAAAATTTGAAGACTAACTGTTGTAATTGCCAAAATCATTGTAGCTTTCACCACCTTCCAAAAATTGCTTTCATCATTACCAAATTTCATTATAGCCATCCCCAACTGCACCCATATCCACCAATCAAACCATCGGCTGCCCACCAAAAAGCAAACCCAGGACACTGAAGTTTTTTTTCCCTCCACAAACCGAAAGTTTTTGTCATTCTCAACCCAAAACCACCCTCCCATGAAAAAAAAACCACCCAACCAAAAGTTTTCCCAGAACCCAACTTCGACCCTCTTTGGCTGGAGGAAGGCCCACTAGCCCATCCTCTTTGGCTTTTGACCAGGGCCTTTCCTTAACTTTCAAAGTTGTGCCATTCAACAGGTAAATGGGTTAAAATATCTTGAATGAACAATTCCTTTATCCCAGGAGGTTCCCATTGGGGTCCGTCAAAGGTTTACAAAAGGCAAAAGCCTTTCTTGCCAATTACTCGTCCCCCAGTCATGAATTCAAATCACTTTCCCATTTTTTTCCCCCATATGGGTTTACAAAATTAACCTCCTTTAGGGTGGGATGTTTTTTTCCTTTCCCAGTGGTCTTCCTTATGCCCACCCCAACAAATAATCTTTTTCACAGCTAAGTGGGGGCAACCTGGTTTTCCCCTTTGGAAGAAACTTCCCTCTTGAGACAAGGAGCCCCCTCTTCCCTTTGGTTCCCACAACTTCTCCCAAGCTAACCCTTGTGTGGCCCTTGCAAATTTATGGCTTTCACCATCCTTCCTCCCAGTGGCATATGGGTGGAACCCCAACTCAAAGCCCCTGGGAGCGCTTTGGGTGGTTCGGATCTTTCTTCATTAACCAACATTAAGTCCATGGAAAGCAATTCTCATTTTTGCCCTTCACGAAAATGGGGCTTCCCTCAGGCCCTTCTCCTCGGTTTATTTTTTCAAAGCTCAACCCTCCCCAATTGGAAACGAGCTCCTCAGCGCCGTTCCGGCGTTTTTTACGGAGAACCCTCTTGACTTTAGACCATGAAAATGGGGCCAAGGGAAAGAAAAGAGAACTTTAACGAATGCTTCTTGGCGGCGTCCACAGCCCAATTGTTTTGTAATTTTTTAAAAGTTAGAAAGACAGGTTTTCACCCATGTTTTTGGCTAGGCCTGGTCCCTCTAACTCCTGACCCTCAAGGTTGGATCCACCTACCCGTTCAAGCCCTCCCAAAGGTGGCCTGGAAAATTTCAACAGGGTTGGTGACCCAACCACCAATCTGGCCCCCCTCAGAATAAGAATTTAAGGATAGAAAAATAATTTAGAGAAGAATATCCCACTTAACTTAACCACTTCTATTAATTTTTTTGTTGCACTTTTCCTCAAACATAAAGTCAAAATTGGTCAATTATCCCCCTTGTTTTTTGCGCTCTAGTGGACCACTTTTTTTCAATAAATATTTCAATACAAACATTTTTCCTTTTTTTTTTCCAACCGGCTTTTGGCTTTTGGGGGTTGGTTCCCCCTTCCTATTTAAAAAAAAAAAAATTTTCCAGAAACCACTGTATTTTATCCGACTTTTACTTTATTCAAAAATCCAGATACTGTATTAGTCTGTTCTTGCACTACCATAAAGAAATACCTGGTCATCCAAGATGGGGTCACAGTTTTTTTTTTTTTTTAAAGAAACACCTGACTGGGTAATTTATGAAGAAAAGAGGTTTCATTGGCTCATGGTTCTGCAGGCTGTATAGGAGGCATAGCAGCTTCTGCTTCTGGGGAGGCCTCAGGAAGCTTATAATCATGGCAGAAGGCAAAGAGGGTGCAGGTGTCTCACATGGCAGAGCCAGGGCAAGAGAGCAAGGTGGGGAGGTGCTGCACACTTTTAAAGAAGCAGATCCCAAGAGAACTCACTTGCTCTCTCAAGGACAGGACCAACGGGGATGGTGCTAAACCATTCACTAGAAATCTGACCCTATGATCCAATCACCTCCCACCAGGTCCCACCTCCAACAATGGGGATTACATTTCAATATGAGATTTGGGGCAGGACACACATCCAAACTATACCAGTCAGTAAGACAATAAACACTTATGTGTCTATCACATCATAGGTACTATCCTGGGAAAAACTAAAAATATAAACAGAAGACAGACTCTGTCCTATATTCATCAAGTGTGGGTAGAGATAAATAAAAACAAATAAGAACAGAAAAGTATAATTCACTAGTTCTACAACTAAAGTGAATAAAGGACAGTAAGGGCACAAAAGAGAACAGTCCGTTCCACCTGGGAAGCTCAGGAAATGATGCAAAGATAGGGCCATACTACGAGGCAGACCCAGTGCAGTGATATGGTTTGGCTCTGTGTCCCCACCCAAATCTCATCTCGAATTGCAATCTTCATGTGTCAAGGGACAGACCAGAGGAGATAACTGGATCATGAGGTGGTTTCCACCATGCTGTTCTCATGATAGTGAGTGAGTTCTCATGAAATCTGATGGTTTTACAAGTGTTTGGTAGTTCCTCCTGCATTAATTCACTCTCCTACGGCCTTGTGAAGAAGGTGCCTGCTTCCCTTTTGCCTTCCGCCATGATTGTAAGTTTCCTGAGGCCTCCCCAGCCATGTGGAACTGTGAGTCAATTAAACCTCTTTCTGTTATACATTACCCAGTCTGGGGTATTTCTTTTTAGCAGTGTGACAATGGAGTAATACATGCACAGTGGGAATGTAAAAGGTTTCTAGAAGGGGCACCATAAACAAAAGGATGAGGCATGAAACAACATGACAAATGAGGGTACCAAAGTAATGTGGTAAAACTGGAACACAGTCAGAGGGAATAGGATGAAGAGATAAAACAGGAAAATCAGGCCAAACCACCAAGGACCTGATTTAGGCTAGAATGTGAACTTTCCCTTTCATGTACTGGGGATCCAGTCAGTAAGCAGGTGAGTTAGAGCATCACAAATACATTTGAGAAAGGTCACCCTGGCAGCAATGTAAAGACAGATAGACATGGGGGTGGGGGGAGTGGTCAGCACAAAAATAGAAAAGATTATTCCAAAATTACAGGTCAGAAAGTGAACTGTCACATTTTCTTTGGACATCCTAAAAAGAAAAAAAAAAAAAGTGATTTGCAATAATAAGATATGAGAAATGAGGCCGGGCGCAGCGTGGTGGCTCATACCTATAATCCCGGCACTTTGGGAGGCCAAGAAGTGCGCAGATCATGAGGTCAGGAGTTCAAGACCAGCCTGTTCAACATGGTGAAACCCCATCTCTACTAAAAATACAAAAATTAGCTGGGCGTGGTGGCACATGCCTGTAATCCCGGCTACTCGGGAGGCTGATGCAGGAGAACTGCTTAAATCTGGGAGGCAGAGCTTGCGGTGAGCAGAGATCATGCCATTGCACTCCAGCCTGGGAGACAGAGAAAGACGACATCTCAAAAAAAAAAAAAAAAAAAAAGATACGAGAAAGGCTAAGCAGGTAGAAAATAAAGAACTTGGTGAGTGACTGGATTCGTAATTTGAGGGAAAACTGGAGTGCAAGATTTCTCCTGCTTCTATGTTTCAGTGCTACTTCCTAGGTGTTATTTACTGGGATGAGGAAACCAGAGGACAGAGTAAATTACAAAGAGTCAGGAAAGAGTCAGGAACAATGTCTTCAGTTTGGGACATATTACTATAAAATTTGAGGCACCCAGGGAACTTAGGTTTTTGGTGGGTTTTTTTCAGAGACAAGGTTTCACTGTGTCACCAGGCTGGTCACCAACTCCTGAGCTCAAGTGATCCGCCAGTCTTCGCCTTCCCAAGTGCTGGAATTATAGGCATGAGCCACTGGACCCAGCCTACCCAGGGGATTTAGAAGACAGATTTGGATAAATACATTTAGAGTAGAAGTAGATGACCTCAGGAAAAGCATAGGAATTAAGTATATACATATTTGTAAAATACACTAAACTGGTAGAGTTAAATAATATGAACCTACACAGAACTCTGAAATTTTGAAAATGAAAAGGCAAAGAGGGAAAAAAACCATGGGATTTAAGGTTTCAATTACATATTTCAACATTTGAGAATAGGTGCAGTGGGCCCCACCTGCAATCTTAGCACTTTGGGAGGCCAAGGTGGAAGGGTCACTTGAGCCCAGGAGTTCAAAATCGGCCTAGATAATATAGCCAGATCCCATCTCTACAAAAAAATAAATAGCTGGGCATGGTGGTGCATGCCCATGGTCCCAGCTGCTTGGGAGGCTGAAGCCAGATCCAGAAGATTTAAGCTTCAGTGAGCCTTGATCATGCCATTGCACTCCAGCCTGGGTAACAGAGACTCTGTATTTAAAAACAAAACAAAACAAAACAAAACAAAACAAAACAAAAAAGGCCAGGCGTGGTGGTTCACACCTGTAATCCCAGCACTTTGGGAGGCTGAGGTGGGTGGATCACTTGAGGCCAGGTGTTCAAGACCAGTCAACATAGCAAAACCCCATCTCTACTAAAAATATAAAAATTATCCACGTGTGGTGGTGCACACTTGTAGTCCCAGCTACTCAGAAGGCTGAGGCACAAGAACTGCTTGAACCCAGGAAGCAGAGGTTGCAGTGAGCTGAGATCCTGCCACTGTACTCCAGCCTGGGTAACAGAGCAAGACTCCATCTCAAAAAAAAAAAAAAAGAAGAAGAAAAGAAAAGAAAGCTATGACTATCCAAGTTGAAGATTTCAAATAGTCTTCAAATATATCTATGATTATCAAGCAAGACCAGTATTCACATAGAGAAAAGGACTAAAAAATCAAGTCAACAGGATTCTGAGTTTTAGAGATGAATGAATTTATGAGCAAGGTTTAACAACTATGAATAATAAAGTTAACAAAGCTTCCTGATGAGAATATAAAATATCCTCATTGCTGTAGATACTTTTTAAAGTGAAAAATCATCTTCCAGATTTTTTTTTTTTTGAGACAGAGTCTCGCCCTGTTGCCCAGAATGGAGTGCAATGGCGTGATCTAGGCTCACTGCAACCTCCACCTCCCGGGTTCAAGCAATTCTCCTGGCTCAGCTCCCAGGAGCTGGGATTATAGGCATGCGCCACCACACCCAGCTAATTTTTTGTATATTCAGAAGAGACAGGGTTTCACCATGTTGGCCAGGCTGGTCTCCAACTCCTGACCTCGTGATCTGCCCGTCTTGGCCTCCCAAAGTGCTGGGATTACAGGTGTGAGCCACCACGCCCAGCCCAGAGATAATTTTGTAAACTCCCTTGACAATCTTTCCTTCCTTATGATTCTATAACACGCAGTTTATTTTAGAAAGCAATAACAAATTTTGATCGCTTTCATTTGGTGTGTGCATATATGTCCATTACACACAGATATTAATTATTAGCACAAGATAAATCAGAGTATCTGCAGAAATAAATAATTGCTACATTCATTTCTCTAAGAATGCTTATACTAAAATTAATTTTCTCTAATTTTTTTCCCAAGATGACAGATGGGAGGCACTGTGACCAAGCCTCTCCCATCTGGAAAGACAAAATAGTGTGGAGGGATTTGCGCTTCAAACTTTTTTCCAAGAAGCAACACAGGACCTTAACAGAAAAATTTAAAGAAACCAGAGACCCTGTGAAAGAACAGGCAGGCAGCAGTGTACACAATGAACCAGGTAGAAAATCGTGAGTCTCCAGAGTGTGAACGGGAGAGACGGTCTCTGGGACACACACTTCCACTGGGAAGCCTGGCAATCCAGGTCACAGGGAAGCCCTAACTCCCCACGCGCTGGAGCTGAGTGAGCAGTGGGGAGCCCACGAGAAGGAGTGGCATCCCCACACACTTTGCATGCATTCCCTGACTCTAGCAAGGACAGAGGGAAACCATTCCTGATCCTACCTCACAGGCATCCTCCCAGAAGTCAGTCAGCTAACTCAGGCTGCCGTCACAGGTGGAGAGAAGCTCCCAAATGAGAGCTGCCATATTATCTTGAGTGGAGATGACCCCGTTGGCCAGAACCACGGGGTGAACAAGCAGTGTGCTATAGTCCAGGCTGCAGGAGCTGGATGCCCCTTGTTCCACAGGCGGATCAGGAGGGGCGTGGCTTGAAAGAAAGTAAGGTTCCTGTACCTCAGGGAGGCTTATGGCCTGGGGCAATTTTGAGTTCCAAGCACAGGCTGACTGGAATCCAACTAGCTGCCGCTAGCAGAACCCTGTAGGTATGAGACCTGCCTTGCCAAGCCCGTGAGAAATGAGTGAGACTTACTGCTGCCTGACACCCCCGGCTCCTTCTGTGGATTCTTTTGTGCAGCAGCGGCAGCTGAGCTCCTCCCTGGAACATTACTCTAGCAGCCAGGGAACTGCCCTCTGATCCCCAGTGGGGCCGCTGCTTGCGCCCACATGTGGGGAGCCAGAGTGTGGACTGGCCTCACCCAGCCCCGACCCGGCTTTGCTAACTCCACCTGCCATGCTAACATAACACAACGGACAGGGACTTCTGGGAGCTCGATGGCCCCAACCATCGTCTGAGACTCCAGAGTATTTCCCTTGAGTAACCTAAGGCAAACAAATCCCACCACTACCTCCGCAATTGGCGCTCTTTTGCAAGCGCCACCTCCTGGCTAAAAGTCAACCAGCACAGCATCTGCAAGCACAATGACACAGTACCAAGGAAGCAGGAAACGTCTGTGCATCCTCAGTTATCACCACGGCCTGCACCATTCTGGCTAACCACGAGGTCCTGCGTCTGTCTATGAGCCCAGCACATTAATACTGCAGCTGGCATTTGAGAAAACACACGAAGGCTATTTGTAATGAAGGAAATCTCACAGGGTCTACGTCATTCCCCTTCCCACCCTATCGGAGCAGGTGCTGGTACCCACTGCTGGGGGACTCGAAGACAGGTCATCTCACTGGATCCCTTGCAGACATTCCCCAGCACCACCCTGGAGTATGGCAGCCCACTGGGTGGCTAGACCCAGAGGAGCAGCAGGAGTCACAGCAGCCAGGTCCTCAAGGGCTGCTACTCCCAGGGGAAGGAATGCACCACATTGAGAGGGCACCCTGAGGGAAAAAAAGAAACCAGACTGCAGGCCTTCTGCTTGGGGGAAGTTTTTTTCAGCAGAGCGACAGGTGCAGTGCTGGCCTCAGTGGAGAAAATCTAGGGCTTTCCCTTAACAGGTAGCCCTGGGGCATGGGAAGAGTCTTGGAGAAGAGAACTTCTCCCTCTCGCCCACCACTGCAGACACAGTTGGGGCTCTTTCCATGAGAGCATGACGTGGGTGCATCTGTAGACAGCCTTCCTGAAGCACCTCAGGGTGACTGCATCCCACAGGAGTGCCCTCCACGTTCAGGCTTGCATGAGGATCACAATCCCTCTCTACACGGAACACCAGTATTCCTGCAGATTAAAAAAAGGTCCTGTCTGATCTGACTAGCTGGAACACCAGGTCAGGAGTGTGACTGGGAGGCAGACTGCTTTCCTGCTGGCCTGGAAGGGGAGCTGTGGTGGCTCCCTCCCTTCCCCCTGAAAATATCTTAGTGCATATCACTGAGAGCTCCCCCAGTCACCTCTGTCAAGGTCACCCTTGGGGTACTGCATTTATCCACCTGCTTTAGCTACAACCAGTTTTTACCCATGAGTACCTTCAGTCTGAGGCCTGAAATGTTCGATCCAGTAAATAAAATACTGGGGAAAAAAATGTTTTAGGAAACAGAGTAGGCAGCTGAATTTTTAAGTGCACAACACTGGAGAATGAGATAAGATTCGTGAGACTTCTGCCACTCCAGTCCCACAGGAAACAGTGAACCTGCTCACGCACCTAGTACATCGCTATTACTACCAACATCTGAGAAAATCATCACCCAAAGATTCTCTGTAACCAAGGAACTCACTACTACAAGGTCTTCACTACTGAAAGCACCCAGAGCTGAAACTAGGTGACAACAAATTATAGACATTAAAGTCACATCCTCAAGGGGGGAAAAGTAAATTTAAAAAAACCCAGTCAAATCAAAAGTAAATTCAAAAATAATTAGAAGAAATATTCCACCCAAATTAGAAGGAACCAGAAAAATAATTCTGGCAATATGAAAAAACAGCATTCTATAATCCCCCTAAAAGATCACACTAACTCTCCAGCAATTGATCCAAAACAAGATGAAATCTTTGAAATACCAGATAAAGAATTCAAAAGATTGACTATTACTCAAGAATATATAAGGGAAAGGTAAAAACCAACATAAAGAAATTTTTAAAAACAATTCAGGATCTTAATGAAAAATTTTCCAAAGAGAAAGATATTTTAAAGAAAAAACAATCAGAACTTCCGGAAATGAAACACACATTTAAGAAACTACAAAATGTAGTGGGGGGCCGGGTGTGGTGACTCACGCCTGTAATCCCAGCATTTGGGAGACCAAGGTGGGTGGATCGCTTGAGGTCAGGAGTTTGAGACCACCCTGGCCAACATGGCAAAACCCTGCCTCTACTAAAAACACAAAAATTAGCCGGGTGTGGTAGTGTATACCTATAATCCCAGCTACTAGGGAAGCTGAAGCAGGAGAAGTGCTTGAATCCAGTGGGTGGAGGTTGCAGTGAGCTGAGATCATGCTACTCCAGCCTGGGTGACAGAGAGAGACTCTGTCTCAAGGGGGAAAAAAAAAGTAGTGGGAAGTTTTAACAGTAGGCTATGCCAAATAGAAGTAAGAACTTTAAAGTTTGAAGACAAGGCTTTCAAATTAATCCAATCAGACAAAAATAAAAAGAATAAAATAAAATTAAATTTAAAAAAAATAATTTTTAAAAATAACCTGTAAAGGAAAACCTATCAGACTGACAGCAGACTTCTCAGCAGAAACCTTCACAAGCCAGGAGGGACTGCAGTCCTATCTACAGCCTCCTTAAATAGGAAAAAAATTGTCAGCCAAGAATTGTGTATCAAACAAAACTAAGTTTCATAAATGAAGGAAAAATAAAGTCTTTCTTGAAGAAGCAAATGCTGAGGGAATCTGTCAATACTAGACAAGCCCTACAAGAAATATATATAAAAGTTCTCAATATTGAAATAAAAGGTTGATACAAAACAGATTAGAAATTTCTGAAAGCATACAATTCACAAGGTTTATAAAACAAAACATAATAGAGGAAACAAAGTCACTAAATAACAATCAACACAATGACTGGAATAGCACCTCACATCTCAAATTACCTTTGAATGTAAATGGTCTAAATGCTCCACTTAAAAGATGCAGGTTGGCAGAATGGATTTTTAAAAATCACAAACCAAATTTCTCTACTGTTTTCAGGAGACACACCTATCATGTAAGGATTCCTGTACTCTCAAGATAAAGGGGTGGAAACAGATATTTCACACAAAGAGAAACCAAAAGTGAGCAGGAGAAACTATTCCTATATCAGATAAAACAGAGTTTAAAGCAACGACAGTAAAAATAAATAAAAATAGTCACATATATAACGATGAAAGGATCGATTCAATAAGATCTAAAAATTCTAAATATATACGCACCTATCTTCAGAGCTCCCAGATTCATAAAACTATTACTACTAGACCTAAGAAAACCTAAGAAAAGATATAGCAACACAATAACAGTACAGGACTTCAACACTCCACTGACAGCACTAGACAGGTCATCAAGGCAGAAAGCCAACAAAAAAATACTGGACTTAAACTGCACTCAAGAACAAATGAATCTAACAGATATTTACCAAACATTCTACCTGAGAACTGCAGAATATACATTCTTTTAATAAGCACATGGAACGTTCTCCAAGACAGACCATATGACAGGCCATACAATAAGTCTTAATAAATTTTAAAAAACTGAAATCATATGTAGTATCTTCTCAGACCACAGCAGAATACATGGAAATCAATTCCAAAAGGAACTCTCAAAATTATACAAACATATAGTAATTTCCATTTAATTTAATGATCTGCTCCTGATTTCGGAGTTAGTAATAAAATCAAGAAGGAAATTTTAAAATGTTTTGAAATAAGTAACAGTGCTACAAATTATCAAAACCTGTTATAGCAAATCAGTACTAACATCACACCTTAGGAAATTAGAGAAACAAGGACAAACCAAACCCAAAGCTAGCAGAAGAAATGAAATAACAAAGATCAGAGCAGAGCTAAATGTATTTATAACCAAAAACACAATACAAAAGATCAATGAAACAAAAAGTTTGTTTTTCGTTTGTTTGGTTTTTTTTTTTGACAGAGTTTCACTCTTGTCACCCAGGCTGGAGTGCAATGGCACGATCTTGGCTCACTATAACCGCCACCTCCTGGGTTCAAGTGATTCTCCTGCCTCAGCCTCCCAAGAAGCTGGGATTACAGGCACCCAAGACCACGCTCGGCTAATTTTTTTTGTATTTTTATTAAAGACAGAGTTTTACCATGTGGGCCAGGCTGGTCTCGAACTCCTGACCTCAGGTGATCTGCCCGCCTAGGCCTCCCAAAGTGCTGGGATTACAGGAGTGAGCCACCGTGCAAGACGATTTTTTTAAAAAGGTAACACAGTTGATAGATCACTAGCTACATTAACTAAGAAAAGAGAGATGATACAAATAAGCTCAAGTAGGAATGAATGTGGAGACATTACAACTGATACCACAGAAATACAAAAGATCATTCAAGACTACTATAAACACCTCTATGCACACAAACTAGAAAATCTAGAGGAAATAGCTAAATTCCTGGAAACATATAACTCCTCTAGCTTGAATCAGGAAGAAACAGAAATCCTGAACAGACCAGTAATAAGCGTGAGACTGAATCAGTAATTTTAAAACTGCCAACAAGAAAAAAGCTCAGGGCCACAGGGATTCATAGCTAAATTCTACCAGACATTCAAAAGAGAACTGGTAACAATTCTACTGAAACTATTCCAAAAGATTGAGAAGGGGGGAATCCTCCCTAACTCATTCTATGAAGCCAGTATCACACTATACCAAAGCCAGAAAAGGACACAACAAAAAAAAGAAAACTGCAGACCAATATCTCTGATGAATATAGATACAAAAATCCTCAAGAAAATACTAGCAAACCGAATCCAACAGCACATCACAAAGTAATAATTCACCATGATTAAGTGGGTTTCATTTCAAGGATGCAGGGATGGTTCAACATATGCAAGTCAATAAATGTGATTCATCATATACACAGAATTAGAAACAAAAACCGTATGATCATCTCAATAGACACATCATTATGAAGATTGTGGGGGCAGGGGAAGGGTACGCGAAAAAAGTTTTTTAAAAAAAACTTACCTTTATAAGACCAGGGTTTGCTAACGACTTGTGGGAAGGTTTTGGAAGGGGGTCAGGTGATTGACAGGTAGGATGAGAAAAGCCCTGGGCTTTGACTGATGTTGTAGGAAGGCTTTCAACCACAACTTCATCTTGACTATCAGAATCTCTATCCTCAAACAAAGTTCTGCTTCCTGTTCTCACAATGCCATATGTTGCTTCTACTACAGTAAAAACAAAATAAAGAGTAAATGAAAATATTTGTAATTAAGAATCAGTGAATAACACAAGAATGATCAGTTTTCAAACAGCTTACAATTTTTCCTGGATTGCTGAGAAGCAGTCATTAGCTTTGCTAAGCTTGGTTTTGGGACATTCTAGAAAACAAAAATAAGAATAACAAGCTTTAAAAATAACAAGTATCAAATTTGATCAAATAATTGTAATAGACAGTGACAAATTACTACATGATCTAACACAAAGAACACAGATTTTGGAGTCACTCAGATGTAGATTTAAACCTCAGTTCTGCCATTTACTACATCTTCTCATGGGGTAAGGATTATGAGAGATGATACAGATATCCTGCAAAGGTTACTCCCCTTACCCCTAGTTGATTATTTTATAAATACTATGATATCTATTCGATTATTTTCTTAACCACAGTAGCCTAGAATGAAAATGTATTCCTAGGTAGAGTATTATAAAAGTCAAACATTAAGACATATAAATTAATTACATATTATTTTCTGAAATGTGTATGCATGATTTATATTTGCATGAATTACCTCTTGTGATAAAAACTGTGAGCATTTTATTCTTAGTGTATCTTATTTAAGTGGGTTGGCATTGCAAATAGTATAGGCTGCTTCTATTCTGTCAAAAAGCTAAAAATAAATGATTGCATAAATTCAGCTCCTTACAAGAAAGAAAAAAACAAAAATAATCCTTGTGGGGCGATGATTGCTGAACAAAAGCCACACATAACTACTAAATAGAAAGCTGCACCTAAATATGTTGCAAATGGAGACAGACATGGACTGAAAAAACAGACACTGAAGAAATGTATTCTGTAAGGAAACATTTAGGCTGAGATAAATCATTTTTAAAAGATGAAAGTGTAGGGAGAAAAAAAATAGAGGCATGACTATCAATCAAGTGTGAGCTTAAGTCAAGGAAGAAAAGGAAAAGCTTTAAGTATAATAAGGCATATGGAGAAACACACACCTGTAACACAGGCTTTTGTTCATAGAATATCCCTGATAATACTGATTAGTATTTACAACCAGTTTTTTAAAAAATACTTCTGTAGTAAAGAGTTTAATTTTAAGTCATCCAATTAGTTAAAAATGATTATCTAATACTTCCTGAAAGCTGTAACATTCTTACTACAGAGACAGAAAAATAGAAAAAGATTTTAAAATCATAGTAGGAATGCTTATCCATATAAACTTTGACCAAATTTCATATTTCCTCTATTATAGGAAAACTTTTCCCAATATAATTTTCCTGTCACTATGTATTTTCCAGAATATTCTTGTTTTGCAATCCCCACTCCCTCAAATTATTTATCAATCCTTTGTTATTTACCAAAGTAAAAAAAAAAAAAAAAGAATTCAACTGGCCATATTTCTATAAAATGGCTTCCTCTGACCACCTTTCCATTACAAACAGAAAACAGTAATAAGTAGACCGCTGCTAAATTTTAAGAGAATACTACATGAAACTAGATTCAGTGTAAGAAAATTAAGTTCATGAGAGAGCACTTTACCTTGGTATCAAAATTGAGGTCTTCATCATCTGAGGTAGGCCATGAATCATCAACGCCTGGTTTGCCAGAAAGCCTTTAGAACAAAAATATATAAAAATGAGTGAATTCATTTCTTTAAAAACAAAACAAAACAAAAACCAGCTTACAATTTTCGATCTGGATGCCCCCTCCAAAAAAACAAAACCCTGGTGAAAGGTCAACTATCTGTATATTAAATGATGCTTCTTGATCTAATTAAAACTTGACCTTGTTTTTGAAAACTATTTTAGTTACCTATTGCTACCTTTACCTCTCCGAAACTATAAAACATTCAGTAAAGACTCAACCTTAGTTCTGTAACTAATAGTGACAGCCAAGACATTGGCAGAGCCTGGGAATACTTTGTCTTCACAAATTGTCCTGAAGGCTGAACTGAAAATCCAATTAATAGCTGATTTAACTTTGGTTACCTGAACCAGCACAAATCTGATAAATCTAAAACAAGGTGGAGACCAGATGCGGTGGCTCGTGCCTGTAATCCCAGAACTTTGGGAGGTGGAGGCAGGCAGATAACTTGAGCCCAGGAGTTCGAGACCAGCCTGGCCAACATGGCGAAACCCTGTCTCTACTAAAATACAAAAATTAACCAGGCCTGGTGGCACATGTCTGTAATCCCAGCTACTAAGGAGGCTGGGGCAAGAGAATCGCTTGAACCTGGGAGGCAGAGATTGCAGTGAGCCAAGATCATGCCACTGCACTCCAGTCTGGGTGACACACTGTCTCAAAAAATAAAAATAAATAAATAGGCTGGGCGCAGTGGCTCATCCCTATAATCCCAGCACTTTGGGAGGCCAAGGCGGGCAGATCATGAGGTCAGGAGTTCAAGGCCAGTCTGGCCAAGATAGTGAAACCCCATCTCTACTAAAAATACAAAGAATTAGCCAGGTTTGGTGGTGTGCACCTGTGGTCGCAGCTACTTGGGAGGCAGAGGCAGGAGAATTGTGTGAACCCGGGAAGTGGAGGTTGCAGTGAGCTGAGATCGTGCCGTTGCACTCCAGCCTGGGCAACAGTGCAAGACTTTGTCTCAAAAAAAAAAACAACAACAATAATAATAATAATAAAATAAATAAATAAATAAAACAAGGTAGAAAGATACACTGTCCCTTCTCCACATATCTATCTCCAGTTCAAAGACTAATCTGTGTCACTCAAAAATGGCAGTCTTGGTTCTTCAACATGAAAACCACTTAAGGCCTCACTGTTTTCCTTCACCCTAAAACAGTATAGGGAGTCCCCTGCAATGTCTGAAATGTTTGAAAGCTAGATGGGCAAAAGTCAAAACACAAATGTATATGCTGTTGTTGGGACTACTCACACCAGAAATACTAAAACATTAAAGGTTATAAAATCCAATTATTTTCCCTATAGAGGTCCTGCCTTAAACTAGCAAGCCCTTAAAAATATTTATAGGCACTCAGATACCCAAAGAGAAAGACTGCTGGAGAAAGAGTCCTGGTAGTTGTACCTGTATTTCCCTAAGTACTATCTAAACACCTTCCTTCCTATGAGCTCCCACTTACAGATCCCTCTTTTGCAGGGCTCCATAGCATCTCCAACCTTTAAGTCTTCAGCCTATGAAAGCACAAATTCCTGAAAGGATGGTCTCAAATGCCCAAGAGTAGGAGCTCTCTATTTCTCTGCTCCTGGAAAACAAGCTAAATGGAGTCTCCGTCATCTGCCACCAGCACAGGCATGTTACCAACTACCAATTCCGTGAGTTGGGTAACTCTGTGACTGACTTGCCAGCCAATCTTACTCCTGCCCTACCCTACATGTCCATGAGAAGGACATCAGAGAATTGGGAAAAGAGGCAGAGGTGAGGGGACACCTGCCCTGGGCCACAGATCTACGGAGTTCAGCAGCCTCCAGCTCCAAAGTACTTGAGGGGCTCAAAGCCATCACTCTATAAGTTGAGGCAGAAGTAGTCACAGCACATTCCTATTGGCTGTAGACTCTTCCCAGTGGCTCATATTATTTTAACATTTTTCAGTAGAAACCCTGAGAGTTTGTCGGTTCTTCCAATTATACAAGAAAAGCAACAACCTGTTCAGGACTCCCCTGAACCCCCTATTTTAATATGCCTTTCTAGGTAATTCCCAACATCCTGTATCCTTCATTCCTATAATTTATCATTATCGAACTTGTCAGAAACCCCAATATTCTGATCTCTTTTCCAAAAGCCCTGTTCCTATCCAACCCAGTATTGTTTCTCTTCAAACTTGGCCTCCCTCTGCTAATTTCATTCTTTCCTCTTCCACTGTGTTCACTAGATCCACTCACCCTTTCTATTATTAAAATATTAACCTGTAGGATGATAAAGAAGGACGAGTACTAGCCTCTGAAATGAGTTCGAATATCATATCCAAATAAATCCCCTTAATCTGAGTTTTAGGTTCTTCATCGGAACCATTTGACCAAAATGTTAAACACAGAATGAAGTACTAGATAGCATTCTGATTAGTCTGATTCCTTAAAATCCTGAAATTCTAGGTGCTTTGATTCTGTTGATAGGAAAATGGGGAATACAGCTGGCAGAAATGGAAAAAAATAATAGAACACAGTTGGCTGGATAAAGAATATGTGGTATAAATATACCATAGAATACTATGCAGTTTTTTTGTTTGTTTTTTTTTTTGGTTTGATTTTTTTTTCGTTTTTTTTGAGATGCAGTCCCGTGCGGTCACCAAGGCTGGAGTGCAGTGGTACAATCTTGGCTCACTGTAACCTCTGCCTCCCAGGTTCAAGCGATTCTCCTGTCTCAGCTTCCTGAGTAGCTGGGACAACAGGCACATGCCACCATGCCCGGCTAATTTTTTGTATTTTTAGTAGAGACAGGGTTTCACCATGTTAGCCAGGCTGGTCTCGATCTCCTGACCTCGTGATCTGCCCGCTTCAGCCTCCCAAAGTGCTGGGATTACAGGCATGAGCCACCACGCCTGGCCCTATGCAGTTATTTAAAAAAGAAAGAGAGAGAAACAAAATCATATCCTTTCTAGCAACTCTGATGGAGCTGGAGTACTAGCCTAAAGGGAAAACCAAACTGGGAAGTCAGTAGGTAGAGAAATAAATCTGAAATATCCTCTAACTACACGCTAAATACAATTAACACAATATGGTCTACAGGTAGATAGCCTTCACCTTCAGTAAAATAATTCCTTCCTAGGACTTGCGTGGTCTGCTTATGTAAAATGTATGGCCCTGTGGCCACAGCTAAGTGAGATCTGGCCTAAAACATTTGATGATAAAATCAAAGTAGTTACCACTGCAATTATCAAACATATTAGGACAAATTGTTGGATTAACCAGGTCCCTAAGAAAAACTCTGAGAGTTAACACATAACTAAATGAAGGTCTCTGAATTGATCTGATTTGGACCTGTACCTTGATCCAGTGCTACAGGTCTCTATCAATCTATGTTGAGGGGCAAGAGAAAGGATTTGGGAGCCAAGCAGGCTAAGTCAAATCATGGGTCGGGTGCTTGCTAACTGTGATGTCATGGGCCAATTAATCAACCTCTCTGAACCACACAGTTGGGTTATAATAGCACAGATACTTTGCAAAGTTGTTGGGATAACTATATGGAGAAGCACATAATATGGTGTCTAGTCCAGAGTAGAGCACTCAACAGACAGTTTCTTTTCTCCGTATTCCTTTAAATGTATTTTTTAAAATCTGTAAGATACTACCTGCTTAAGGAGTCTTCAGAGCTCTCATCCACTATTAAAGAGAAAAGTAAAACACATTTTAAATCAACAATAGAAAAATATATATAATTTAAAGCATAAGACTGATGCTTTGTTACAAAGTATCCCTCTGGGACCATATCTGGAGACTATAATAGAATTAATATCCTACATAAATATTCCATTAAACTCACATTATAGAAAAAAGTTAATCTTCCCTGAAGACGTGCCAGTCTTCTCTACTCACCTGACAATTTCCTACTCCTGGTGTCCAGTTTAAATGCTTGTGCACAACCTGGAAACCTACGAATCATCTGAGATTCCTCTCTGCCCCCTAACTTTTTACACTCAATAATCACTAAATCCTTTTAACTGTACCGCTTTTCTGCCTCTGCCTTACATTTCCACTACCCCTGGAAATATAAACACATTTACTTAATGTGTTATTTACTTAATATGTTTATATTTCCTAGTTAAACATGGACTCTGAACTGATGGCTTTCACAAAGAAAAAAAAAAAAACCCATGCACTTTAAATGTTATTTCTTAAATGAAAAAAAAAAATCTAAGCAAAACTAATTAAAAAGTCGTAACATGAAGAAAAAGACCAACATTTTAAAATGAATAAACTGGCCAGGTATGGTGCCTCATGCATATAATCCCAGCACTTTGGGAGGCCAAGGCAGGAGGATCGCTTGAGGCCAGGAGTTTGAGACCAGCCTGGCCTAACATAGTGAGACCTCATCTTTAAAAGAATAAACAAAATAAAATAAATAAACTGAGCTTCCTAACTGTATGTATTTCACCATGGATGGTGAAAACCTCATAATGGATGAATACCAGTCCAAGGATTAGTGACAAGGAAACTATGACTGACTGCTGCAAAAGCTTCCTTTGTTTCCCAATCTCTTTACGTGCTTACCTTCCATCTATCCTGTATATATGAGGGACCAGCAAACTAGAGGCCACAAGCCAATTCCAGCCAGCCATATGGTTTTGTAAATAAAGGTTTACTAAAGCACAGTCATGTTATTAACTTACATATAATCTATGACTGCTTTCACCTTACAATGGCAGGGTTGCATAGCTACGACAAAGACCACATGGCCTAGGCCGGGCACAGTGGCTCACACCTGTAATCCCAGCACTTTGGGAGGCCGAGGCAGGCAGATCATGAGGCCAGGAGTTCAAGACCAGCCTGACCAACATGGAGAAAACCCATCTCTACTAAAACTACAAACATTAGCTAGGCATGGTGGCATGCACCTGTAATCCCAGCTACTCAGGAGGCTAAGGCAGGAGAATCGCTTGAACCCAGAAAGCGGAGGTTGCAGGGAGCCAAGATCACGCTATTGCACTCCAGCCTGGGCAACAAGAGTGAAACTCCAACTTAAAAAAAAAAAAAAAAGGCCGGGCGCGGTGGCTCAAGCCTGTAATCCCAGCACTTTGGGAGGCCAAGGCGGGCAGATCACGAGGTCAGGAGATCGAGACTATTCTGGCTAACACAGTGAAACCCCGTCTCTACTAAAAAATACAAAAAAACTAGCCAGGCGAGGTGGCAGACGCCTGTAGTCCCAGCTACTCGGGAGGCTGAGGCAGGAGAATGGCGTAAACCCGGGAGGCAGAGCTTGCAGTGAGCCGAGATCCGGCCACTGCACTCCAGCCTGGGCGACAGAGCGAGACTCCATCTCAAAAAAAAAAAAAAAGAAAAGAAAAGAAAAGGCTACATGGCCTAAAATATTTTCCATGTGGCCCTTTACAGAAAAGCTGCCAATCCCTGCTTTATACCATAGCCAGAATGCCCTAATACTCAGATCTAAACCTTGTGACTCCCATGCTTAAAATTCTCCAATGAATCCCCGCAGCAAACATTGCTGACTCCCTATCCAATTCTTTAATCTTTCTTGCTGGAAAAACACAAGTCTACTTGGATATTTAGCATCCCAATACCCTCCCCAGCTCCAAAAGAGAAATGATTATTTTAAGCTAATCACAGCAATTACATTTGCTTTCCCAGTGACTGGTTTAAAAATGAGCATGTGATGTAACCAGCTAATAAAATGTGATAGGAGGCCAGGAATGGTGGCTCGTGCCTGTAATCCCAGCACTTGGGGAGACTAAAGCAGGCAGATGGCTTGAGCTCAGGAGTTTGACACAAGTCTGGGCAATGTGATGAAACGTCTCTATAAAAAATCACCCAGGTGTGATGGTGCGCACCCATAGTCCCAGGTATCCAGGAGGCTGAGGTGGGAGGATCACCTGAGCCCGGTAGTCAAGGCTGCAGTGAGCTGTGATTGCACCACTGTACTCCAGCCTGGGAGACAGAGTGAGACCCTGTCTTGAAAAAAATAAAATAAAATAGGAAGTCCACTGCAAGCTTCTAAGTTTTCTTCCTATTTAAAAGAAACGTGGGCCAGGCGCGGTGGCTCTAGCCTGTAATCCCAGCACTTTGGGAGGCCGAGACGGGCGGATCACGAGGTTAGGAGATCGAGACCATCCTGGCTAACACGGTGAAACCCCGTCTCTACTAAAAAGTACAAAAAACTAGCCGGGCGAGGTGGTGGGCGCCTGTGGTCCCAGTTACTCGGGAAGCTGAAGCAGGAGAACGGCGTGAACCTGGGAGGTGGAGCTTTCAGTGAGCTGAGATCGTACCACTGCACTCCAGCCTGGGTGACAGAGCAAGACTCCGTCTTAAAAAAAAAAAAGAAACGTAAAGAAAAGCAGTCCTTCTAGCTGTTAGATCTATACTTTTGTGAGAACATGATGTTTGGAGCTGCTGCTACTTAGCCAACCATGAAGGGAGATATGAACAAAAACACTGCCAAGGGCATAGCTAAAAGAGGGACAACAAGTGGGATCCAATGACATCATTGAACCACCAAAACAACTATGGTTCTTATTATTTTAGCACTTCTAGTTAGGTCACCCATTATTTGCAGCCAAAAGCATTTTAACTGATAAATTTCCCATGGCCTACAGGCTAAGACCTACGCTGAACTATTAAAAAAGTCTTTCATAAGTTTGCCTTAGCTAGGTATTCACCACATTCCCAACCACTTCCATATTACACTTTTTGCACTAGCAAAACTGAACACCCATAAACCCTTGTGAAGTTCACTCAAGTGTCTTAGCTTTAGATTTGCTGTTCCTTCTGCCAAGCATGGAATCTTGTCAGTTGTTCCTTCTGTTAAGGATCATTCTTCTGACTTTGTACCTGGCAAACTTCCACTCACTCTGCATGCTTACCTTATATCCCACCCACTGTTTTAAAACTTTAATTCTTCACCATAAAGTGTCTGGCACATAAAAATACATAATAAATACAGAATAAATGATAATTAGAAGCTCCCAGAGGGCATCTGGCACACAAAAAGCACTGAATAAAGTAGTAAACAATAAAAATTACAATGATCATAATAAGCACCTGACTCTATTTTTTAAATGTTTGTATTTTGTGGTTAGCTGATGTGGATTTGGAAAAAAAAAAAAAGGAAGCTGGGCATGGTGGCTTACACCTGTAATCCCAGCATTTTGGGAGGCCAAGATGGGTGGATCACCTGAGATCAGGAGTTCGAGACCAGCCTAACCAACTTGGTGAAACCCCATCTCTACTAAAAATACAAAATTAGCCGGGTGTGGTGGTACATGCCTGTAATCCCAGCTATCTGAGAGGCTGAGGGAGGAGAATTGCTTGAACCTGGGAGGCGGAGGTTGCAGTGAGCCAAGCCAAGATTACACCACTGCACTCCAGCCTGGGCAACAAGAGCAAAGAAAAGAAATAAAATGTTTGCATTCTGTAACACTAGAAAAATGCTTAGTACCTAAAAGATACTTGACAGTTATTTGCTAAGTAAACAATTATAGAAATCAGTTACGTTTTCACTGAAAAACCACAAATGAAATAGAACAGCTCTATTCTATTATGAAAACTTTAAAGACCAAAACTATATCTGTTCCATAGTCATGTTTCTTGCAACTTGCAAAACCTAACCTATAAAAGTTCTTTGATAAATATGTACTAAATTAAATGTGTCTTCATGCAGTTCAGGTTATACAGTGCATTCAATGTCACATCCAGGTAGCACAGTAGCATTTTTGTCATGGTGAAACATTTCTGACCGGGCACAGTGTCTCAAGCCTGTAATCCCAACACTTTGGGAGGCCAAGGTGGGCAGATCACTTAAGGTCAGGAGTTTGAGACCAGCCTGGCCAACATGGTGAATCTGCGTCTCTACTAAAAATACAAAAATTGGCCGGGCGTGGTGGCAGGTGCCTGTAATCTCGGCTACTCGGGAGGCTGAGGCTCAGGCAGGAGAACCGCTTGAACCTGGGACGCAGAAGCTGCAGTGAGCCGAGATCGCACCATTGCACTCCAGCCTGGGCAACAAGAGTGAAACTCCATCTTGAAAAAAAAAAACCAAAAAAACATTTCTGTACTTTTTTTTTTTTTAAAGAGTCTCCCATTGGATATTTTTGTACTTTCATTATAATTCATTGAGCCCAGAGTTGAGATATTTGAATATTCATCATGATAATCTTTTAGCTAATGATAACGGAGTGTTTTATTCTAATAAAATTACTGTTATCACAATTATCCAGCAGACAGAAGAACACACCTTTTTTTTTTTTTTTTTTGAGATGGAGTCTCATTCTGTCACCCAGGCTGGAGTGCAGTGATGCAATCTTGGCTCACTGCAACATCCGCCTCCTGGTTCAAGCCATTCTCCTGCCTCTGCCTCCTGAGTAGCTGGGATTACAGGTGCGTGTCACCACACCCAGCTAAGTTTTGTATTTTTAGTAGAGACAAGGTTTCACCATATTGGCCAGGCTGGTGTTGAACTCCTAACCTCATAATCCGCCTGCCTAGGCCTCTGAAAGTGCTGGGATTATAGGTGTGAGCCACCGCACCTGGCCAGAAGCATCCTATTTCAACTTAGGTTGAATAAAATCAGTAATAATGAGATTTTGTTAGTTTAAGAATAAGTAATATGACTTGTGCTTCTCAACAAGGAATTGCTTTTCTGACTTCTGTATTCAGTATCTTTAAAAAATAATTTCCTATTGGTATTGGTGCACACTGGCTAAGTTCTGCAGTTCTTACTGCCATTTGTTTATGGTACCAGAAAGATACTGTTGAGTTCCCACTTTTAAAGATAGTTAATTTTTAGTGACACAAATCACTATGTAATGACACGTGAACAATACAGGTTTGAACTGCACAAGTCCACCTATATGTGGACTTCTTCACCTCTGCCAGCCCAAGACAGCAGGACCAACCTCTCCTCTTCCTCCTACTTCTCAGTCTACTCAACATGTTGACAAGCAGGATGAAGACCTCTATGTCAACTTCCACTCAATGAGTAGTAAATACATTTTTTCTTCTTTAATGATTTTCTTAATCATAATTTCTTTCTTGTAGCTTACTTTACTATAATACATTATATAATACATATATGTAATACATGTTAATTGACTATATTATCATAAGGCTTGCAGTCAACAGTAGGCAATTAGTAGTTAAGTTTTGGGGGGAGTCGAAAGTTAATGCAGATTTTCAGCTGCACAGGGATCACCAGTCCTAACATGCACATTGCTCAAGGGTCAACTGTAATTAATATTCATTTAATAAACACAAACCATTTATTATAAAAATTAAATAGAATATCCATTTTTTTATAACAAGTCTAGTTCATTACAATGTGATTATAAAGGAAATACACAACATACTAACTTAAAAACCTTTTTTCCTATTTATACAAAAATTTCATATAGGAATTTAGAAATGATAACTAAGTAAATGAATTTTTTTCAGGTAGTACCGTTTGACATAATAAATAACTACAAGTAACTTCTTAAATAATTCTGAATTCTAGATTACTAAGAGAAATTAAGAAAAAATACACATGTACCTTATTCACTGATTTTTTTTAACTGCTTTTCTGTGATCAACACTTCCTTATTTCTACTTTTTTATCCATGGTATTTACCAAGAATAATTCACTATCAGAAGTCTTACCTGAATTACTATTTTGAGAAGAATTTTTAGGTATCCTTTCTTCTTTATATTCTGAAATTAGTTGGTGACTGCTATGTATAGAAAAATGTAATATATAAAATTATTTTAATACTGATACAAAAAAAATTTACCAAATATCTCAAAATCTTAAGAGTATTTCAGTCAATATCAGAGCTAATAGCAGAACTTTATTATCACATACACTTCAAATATGTAAGCTCTACAAACTTTCTTTTTTTTTTTTTTTGAGACAGAGTCTTACTCTGTTGCTCAGGCGGGAATGCAGTGGTATGATCTCGGCTTACTGCAACCTCCGCCTCCCAGGTTCAAGTGATTCTCCTGCCTCAGCCTCCCGAGTAGCTGGGATTACAGGCGCCCGTCACTAAGTTCAACTAATTTTTTGTATTTTTAGTAGAGACAGGGTTTCACCATGTTAGACAGGCTACTCTTGAACTCCTGACCTCGTGATTCGCCTGCCTCGGCCTCCCAAAGTGCTGGGATTACAGGCGTGAGCCACTGTACCTGGCCCAAACTTCTTATTAAGCTTCAAATTAAAGAAGAAAAACAGTAAGGTGAAATAGTTATGAAGTAAGGGCAGTATAGCTCAGCAAATTAACTAGAGTTAGCTTGACATAATGGAAAGTGTTCTGAACCCAGAAGAAGTCCTAGCTCTGTAACCAACAGCTATTTGTTTTTGGACAAGATGTTTCTCTTAGGCTCAACGTCTTCTAAAAAATAAGGATTTTACTGCCTTATTTCACTACGGTTATAAAGATTTAACAAGATAACACTTTTAAATGCTCGGAGAAATAGTGAAGAAATGGAATAATTTGTTCCTGAATTTTCTTGCTGAAACTATTTTGGAATCCCAAACAAAACCCAATTAAACATTTCTCCAAAGGTTCTAATATTCAAATGTTACCACTTTCAGAAAATATTACTAAGTCCTAATTTTGGTTATTAGTTATTCTATTCTTTGTGGTTTCCAATCTCAGTAAATTTCATAATTTGTAACTGAATTCACTTATAAATATAGCATCTCATTAAACCAGATAATAGAATTGTCCTTTATTACTGAACTAACTGATCACAGCAAGGGCAGAAAAGATAAATAAAAATAAATAAAATAAGAGATATAATTTCATCCCAGGAACTTTAATAAAGTTATGTACACAGATAATTTGATATACTTTACCAATTTAGTATCTTGCCTGTCTGTGTAGAATTAACTACATCTACTAACAGACATAAGCATCTTGCGTGCTCATCTTTGTAAATTACCACCAAGGCTAAAAGGAAGGGACAAAAAAGAGGCCTCTTGTCTCACTGGGGTATTATATAGAAGCCCTTTGATGGCAAAAACCTATGCTGAGTTTACTTATCTAAAGTAGGCAAAGATTTAAATGAAGAATTCTCCATTTCTTCTCCAGTCTGATATAATATATTACAATTGAAAGTCAGCTAAGGGTCAGGTAAGAGCCACCTGCAGGCTTAAAACAATATTACTAATAATGGTGGCCAGGTGCGGCAGCTCATGCCTATAATCCAAGCACTTCGGGAGGCCGAGATGGGTAGATCACTACAGCCCAGGAGTTCGAGGCCAGCCTGGGTAATATGGCGAAATCCCATCTCTACAAAAATACAAAACTTAGCTGGGTGTGGTGGCACATGCCTATAGTCCCAACTAGTTGGGAGACTAAGGCAGGAGGATTGCTTGAGCCCGAGAGGTGGACATTGCAGTGAGCCAAGATGGCACCACTGCACTCCAGCCTGGGTGACAGAGCCAGACTTTGTCTCAAATAATAATAACAATAATGGTAATAATAGGAGTCACAGTTTCAGCTAATGATGCCAATAAGCGTGGGCTAGGCACCGAATTAAATGCTATATAATCTTACTTAAATACAACCACCTTGAGATATATTTAGTATCCCCCTTTTCATATCAGAAAACATTTGGTGATAAGTAAGTTCCCCAAGCTTACACACTTAACAAGTGGGAAAGCAAGGAATTAAATCCACTCTTGTGTGAATTTAAAGCCTCTTTTCTCTTTATCACCCATCTATGGCTTGTCTTCAATAAAGGAAAAGTTTATCCAATTAAAACTGTCTTTCTTCCCTTTGCCCATACCAATTAAAAATAAAAACATCAAAATATACTAAAAATAGAAAAGGAAAAAAATAATGAAACTATAGTATCTGGTAATAGCAATCAATAGTCACCTAGGGATAACTTAAGTATTCTTCAAAGAACACAGCAACTTAAAGCCAAGAGGCACCCAAAAAAATGATTTCAAACTGCTATTGATGTTTAATACAGCATTTCTGAAGGAAAAGTGCACAAACAGAGGTTAGAACATCACCATAAAAGGGTTAAGAAGTTCAATATTGAGTTAAAAAGTTGCCAGGCGCAGTAGCTTACACCTGTAATCCCAACACTTTGGGAGGCCAAGGTGGGCATATCACGAGGTCAGGAGTTCGAGACCAGCCTGACCAACATCGTGAAATCCTGTCTCAACTGAAAGAAAAAAAATACGAAAATTAGCCAGGCGCGGTGGTGCATGCCTGTAATTCCAGTTACTCAGGAGGTTGAGACATGAGAATCGCTTGAACCTGGGAGGCGGAGGTTGCAGTGAGCCTAGATTGCGCCACTGCACTCCAGCCTGGGTGACACAGGGAGACTACATGTCAAAAAAAAAAAAAAAAAGTAAACTAAAAGTTAACGTCTACATTTTATAAAACTTATAGAACTGGTAAGAAACCTCTTTAGCTAACAGATCACATGGCCAAAAACATGCGTTTACAAATAACAAACATCAGTCAATATTATGAGAAGAGGAATCCTACTGTATAGCCTTTTATATTGCCCAATCCAAGCAACTGCTTTACTACCTGATTTGTGTTGCTATTTGTCACTATATCCCCATAATTACGTTAACCTTCTTATTAGTATTTCTGACTTGAGTGAGAAACAGCAACAGAATCACTGTTGCCCCTCAAGAACAACCAGCAGGTTTAAAAAATCTGTAACATGCAAAACGCAGATCTAAAACACCTTTTAAACACACAGGTTTAAAAAAACAAAACAAAACCAGCTACTGTACCTTTCCAACTTATCCACTGCATTTACATTTGCTTTTTTCTTTATTAAAAATTCCACCATTTGCTGCTTTTTTCCATTTACTGCAAGTAGAAGTGGTGTGAGGTCATCCTGTGAGACAGCAAAAATAATTTAAAATGCATAAAATGACATATTTCTTGGCTGAACTGAAAACCCTATGTCAGATCCTATGAATTGAAACATATAAAATAGAAAACAAATAAAAAACACTTGCTTCCCTTGAAATACCCCTCCTCTGCCTCACCACATGAACTCCAGTCATCTCCAAAACTCACTTCAAACGTTTACCGGTTCTAAGAATATTTGCTTCTATCACACCATTTGGCATGGCATATTGTATTTACTGTATTGTTTCCCATCAAAACCAAGAGTTTCTAGGCTGGGCACAGTGGCTCACGCCTGTAATACCAGCACTTTGGGAGGTCGAGGTGGGCGGATCACCTGAGGTCAGGAGTTCAAGACCAGCCTGGCCAACAAGGCAAAACCCCATCTCTACTAAAAATACAAAAATTAGCCAGACGTGGTGGTGGGTGCCTGTAATCCCAGCTACTCGGGAGGCTGAGGCAGGAGAATTGCTTGAACCCAGGAGGCAGAGGCAGAGGTTGCAATGAGCCGAGATCGTGCCTTTGCACTTCAGCCTGGGAGACAGAGCAAGACTCTGTCTCAAAAAAAAAAAAGAAACAAACAAACAAAAAAAGATTTGCCTGTAACAAATTGTGTTTTCACAAGTATTTATAATAAATGCATAAAAAAAGGTGCACTGCCTAATAAGTATAAACATTTAAAGTAAAATCTTAGACAAGTTATTTTAAAATACTTTCATTGAGGGAATGCTTGCGCTTCCAAATATGGAAAACTAACCCTTACATATGTTGCTGTTGAAACAAATGCATTTCAAATATTGTAAAAATAAAGTTGGTTGATCTATACCTTGTTTTTTGCTTCAGTATTTGCATCATACAAAAGCAGCTTTGTTGCTACTGGTATGTCCTCATTATAGATAGCATAGTGGAGAGCAGTGTTGCCATGGACATCGGCAAGATTTGGATCAGCACCATGTTCTAGTAGAATAGTTGCACATTCCTCTTCCTGGCATTGTACAGCCTGCCAGTATTAGACCAAGAAACAGATCATAAATTCTAGGAATGCAAAATAAACACACCACAGGTTTCACCAATTAGTTATATTTTAATGAGATAAATTCATTTTCATTCTATGTATTTAAGTCAAATCCATCTCATGCTGAAAGAGCTGGCTACTATATACCTTCATCAGAGCTGTCCTGTTTTCGTTGTCACAGACGTTGAGCTGGCATTTTCTGTCCACCAGGAGAGTTACTACTTCTGGATGACCATTGGCACAGGCCAAATGTAGAGCCGTCCTATGAGAGTAACAGGACTTTTTATAAACTGTAGTGCACTGTCTCAAAACATACAATGATTCATAAAACTATAAACATTAAATAGCATGTTGATACAGTTTGGCTGTGTCCCCAACCAAATCCTAAATTGCAGTTCCCATGATCCCTACGTGTGGTGAGGGGGACTCAGTGGGAGGTAACTGAATTATGGGGGGGTGGTTCCCCTGTGCTGCTGCTCTTGTGATAGTGAGGTTTCACAGTATCTGACGGTTTCATAAGGGGCTTTTCCCCCTTTTGCTTGGCACTTCTCCTTGCTGACACCATGTTAAGGACATGCTTGCTTCTCCTTCCCCCATGATCGTAAGTTTCCTGAGGCCTCCCCAACCAGGCTGAACTGTGAGTTAATTAAACCTCTTTCCTTCATAAATTACCCATATAATAAAGGGTATGGCTTTATTAGCAGCATGAGAACTGACTAATACATATGTTAATCCTCTGCCTTCAAAACAAGTATTTAATTTTCTCCTGAAAAAAGTACAATACTGATTAGCTCTTACTACTCACCACATTAATGAAAGAGCAACCTATTTGAATAGAAAAGGCTTGACCTTTGGATTCAGTTCAACTTGGGGTTGAATCCTACTTTAAGCTCTGTCATTTACTCATTACGGCTTAGTAAGTGCCTCAGTTTCCTCATCAATAAAATGGGGATCAAAATAATAACTATCTCATAGGACACCACTGGGATGCTTAAATGAGAATCTATGCAAAATGTTTAGAACAGTTCGTAGCACAAATAAGAGCTCAATAATTCTTAGATATAATTACCATTACTACTGTTTAACAAAAATGTTTAATTAAATGAAATGATACAATTATACCTAGTTGACACTATGTTTTAAAGACCAGAGATAAGGCCAGGCATGGTGGCTCATGCCTGAATCCCAGAACTTTGGGAGGCTGAGGTAGGATGACTGCTTGAGTCCAAGAGTTTGAGACCAGCCTGGGCAACACAGTGAGACCCCATCTCTACAAAAAAACTTAAAACACCACAAAAACAAGAAAGAGATCACTGCAGAGTTGCAGTAGCTGAGACGGCCATTGCCTCCAGCTGGACAGAGGGAACTCTGTCTCC